TCCTACATATATTATTGTTAATCAATGTCATTTTGTTAAACTATCTGGTTTACTGACAGATGTAAGCAGACGAAGATGACATAAAGTTTGACATCAACTGCAAGGCATTAGTTACTTCTTCACAAGATGTACATTTCATACGGTTGTCAATGATTATATATATATATATATATATATATATATTCTAGAAATGGTTGTTGATGTATCAGCACAACTGAAGATAATTATCTTCTATAAATTGAGATTGACCTACATTTTATCTATCAGTCCAAATATCGAGTGACATAGCAACTACGATTTTTATATAAATGTTTTCATTACAAAATGTACAACGTTTTAATCGACCTACAGCTAGACATTTTCTCAATCTATGCTGCATATTTGGTATAACACTAAATTCACGTGTACAGTGTGACTATTTATGCATAAAGGAATGCATACATAGATACTCGCATATATATATATATATATATATATATATATGTAGAAATATCAATAAATATCTGAACCAACTACTGGTCATCGATCAATATAACCTTAATCAATAGACCCATGATATATATATGTGGTGTGATATATTTAGATTAATTTATACCTCTAAGTCAATCTGTAATTCATCAGAAGCATAGAAATCCACCCTTATTGTTGCTTCATAATATTTTAGTACTTCAATTGAAAAGGTGACCTTTTTTGTTAACGATACATAATGGAGAATAGCAAGCTGTCATTTTTTAAGATTCAGAAGTTTCGGTCATAAAAATAATAATGTCGGTCTTATAATTTACCACTGGTGAACTTGTTGCTTTGTTCTATTATGGATGTGAATAATATACTGAATGTTCAATATTTATTTGATGGATAGTGTCAGTTACACGTAGCTGATTGATCACTAGGTTTTACGGTTTATACTGGTAAATCATCCGAAAACAAATGACGATATTTGTCCAATATTTTGATACTACTATGGAAAGTTACATCTCTCCTAAGTAATTGTAAATATCGGATCATTTCGTCTGGACATCAGCTACTTCATCAGTAGAATTATAGTACTTAATCTCAGTTAAAGAACTGCACTTCACTGTGTCAAACAACAATTAACCTCATCATTTTAAAAAAGAATATAGTTTCAAAAAGTCTTGTACATAATGGAAACTAAGTGAAAAAAGGACAGCACTACTATTACAAGCAGAAAAACTCAAGTAAACCTCAGAAAAAAAAGGTATAAACTGGTTAGGCAAATCATCCGTTGTGATGCTGAATGTCGTATTGAAAAGTAGAATACAACTAGAGATACTAATCACTATTAAGTAGTATAGTTTTCATATTCAAAAGACGCAATAAGAATGATGCTGAAATATAGTTATCAGATTTAGCGCTCATTATTGTAAATCAATTAAAGAGTTGGTGTCCCTGTCGTTTCATCTCACTCTGGGAACCTACGAATGTCTGCCGTGTATTTATATGTTGCTAAAGCTTTCAAAACTATTTAAACGCCGGCATGATTTTTAACCTAAATATATTAATTAGTATATCTGGTTACTCAATTTTTGATATATACTACCCACTATTAATAAGTAGCGTAGATTATATTTAAGGTATTTCAACAAACTTACTACCTTCGATTCACAACAATCATCATATAATCACACTATGCTTAAATTTCTAAGTAGGAGGAATATACATTTTTTGAAAACAAGTATTCACACATATTACTCCTTTCTAACTCATAAGTATCTAATCTAATTTGTAAAAAGGTAAGAACAGATTTTAACATGGATTAATAATGTATAGACTATTTTCATAGCAATGAGCTTAAACACTTCTGATATCAATATCTCTACTAAATGACCGCAATTGATTACCATAAGTGAAAGATGATGCTATTCAGACTGAATTTCCTTTCTTGTTCATTTCATTTTTTTCGGTTTCTCGTTTGTGGGTAAGTGAGAGAGTAAAAGTGACGAATTTGAAAGAAGCACCCTTATTTTACCGCTTCACGATTCATAATTCGTTTTCACTGAGATCAGAAACTAAATATTAGATTTTCATGTGTAAGAAGTGACGAACGACATCAGTCAACAAAGAGAGATCATTCTTAGAGGAGAAAATTTGTAGATCTCTGAATAATTTTAGAATATAGTATCAGCCAGGAATGATTGTCTGCTGGTTGACTGTATCAAGAAGATCGACGAGCTTCGGGCTGTGAATCGTATACACCTACAATATCAACACCAGTATAACTCTTTTAGCTAGGGTAACGCTTTAGGATGTGATAAATGTATGACGTTAAGTTTCAATAGTGTTAAACATTGAAAGAAGGAAAATGTGGGACAGATTTAGGTTACTGGGGACTGACGAGGCAAAATCTCAGTATCAAAATGCTTGAAATACCTGTGCCTCGACCCTCCGTAAGGCCAGAAAGCTGTACGAAGAGAAAATCGTTAGGGAATCCATAGAATGCCCTAAACGCTTATATTCGTATATAAACCAAAGGACAAAAAGAAGAAGAAATGTTCCTTCACTATGGGGAGACAGTACTGCCACATCACTAGTGGAGGACGACTTTGGCAAAGCTCAAGTATTCTCTAAATACTTTAGCGATGTTTACACCATAGAAACACCCTTCTCACCAGTCCATGAAAATCCACCCACACAAGCACTGGACAGCGTAACCATTAAAGAACTCGATGTCTTTGGTCTGCTAGTTAAGCTTGACATAGGTAAATCCACTGGACCCGATGAACTGCATCCTAGGTTACTAAAGGAATTAGCTAACTTTGTTGCGAACCCTTTAAGTGTATGCTTTAATCTATCCGTAACCCAGGGTCGTCTACCAAAAGACTGGAAGAACGCCATAGTAAGTCCAGTCTTCAAAACAGGTACAAAACATAAGCCTGAGAATTACCGACCAATTAGCCCAACTAGTGTGGTTGTTAAAATCTTAGAAAAGATTATTCGGAAGGAACTGTTAAAGTATCTCGATGAAAACCGGATCCTCTCCGAAAAGCAGCATGGTTTTAGAACAGGTTACTCTTGTCTCACAAACTTATTAGTCGCTCGTGAAAGCTGGTGCGCTTTTAAGGACCAAAAATTACCTATAGACGTAGCTTACATCGATTTCAGCAAAGCTTTCGACAAAGTTCCGCATAACCGGCTGTTATATAAGCTAAGGAATGTCGGGATTGGAGGCAATCTATTGATGTGGATAAAAGACTTCCTAGTTGGGCGTCAACAAAGAGTACGGGTGAACTCCAAGTTGTCTAGCTGGGAAACTGTGCTTAGTGGAGTCCCCCAGGGTACAGTTTTGGGGCCAGTGTTATCCCTCCTGTACGTAAATGATCTCCCTCGTCTACTATCGTCATCGGTCTTACTCTATGCTGATGATCTCAAGATAAGGAGAGCGATACAAAGCAAGGGCGATAGCTTAGAACTTCAAAATGACCTGGAGAGATTATCTGAATGGTCCCAAACCTGGCAATTGCCGATAAACACTTCCAAGTGTATTGTGATGTATATTGGCCACCAGGGTACAGATACATACACGATGAATAACACTGAGTTACCTATTGTTCAGGCACACAATGACTTAGGCGTCATCGTCAGTCAAGACTTAAAGACTACTGCACACTGCCGTGCAATAGCCGCCAAAGGTTTTAGGACTTTATGGTCCATACGCAGGGCTTTTAGGCATCTCGACGCTAAAACGTTTCTGACTTTGTATACAGTGTTCGTACGCCCTAAACTTGAGTACTGTATACAAGCAGCTAGCCCTTGCCTAAAAAAGACAGTGAACTCTTGGAAAGGGTTCAGAGAACAGCAACTAGGCTGATTCCCGGAATAGCGAAGCTCCCGTATGGTACTAGACTGACCAAGCTAAACCTATTCCCGCTGTCATATAGAAGAATCAGAGGCGACTTGATTACAGTTTTCAAATTGCTTAATGACAAATTTGCACCTGATATGCCCTCATTTTTCTTGTCTTTCAAAACAGAAAATCTACGAGGACACTCCAAAAAAGTTCACAAGCCCAGAATGAATTACTTGTCAGCTGACTACCGACTTTCCCATCGAATAATCAACGAGTGGAATTCATTACCTCAGCACGTGGTTGAGGCTACATCCGTCGACTCCTTCAAAAGAAAGTTGGATCAGCTGAGAGACCATCATTGCCAGGACTAACACAGGCCATCAAGCCTCCTGTCCTTTCCAAACTGAAACTGATTATCCCGTTTCAAGTACCACTACAGTTAATACTATATATCTTGTTTACGCACCATTCATTAAGTTGCACTAACAAGATGTGTTTAAACGGGACTAAGAAAATTGCTCTCTGATGAGTAATTTGATTATCACTACAATAAAAAAATGTGGAGAAATTCGAGAAACCAAAATGTCACGTGTTTCTGCTCGAAGTGTGGATGTATCAGGCAAATGAAAAAAACTGTAATGGAATAATTTCTCTCCGTAACCTGTGATCACATGAAATTGGCATATACTCTTCTAAATGCAGTTGATCTTAATAAAGATTTAAAAAAGCCAACAATAGGAACAAACTCCGATTGTTTATTATGTCATAGAAGGGGTTTTGTGGTGATTTAGTATTTATCATAGTTGAAAGCGTGAGTCAATTGAAGCTAGACCACCTTGAAAAACCTGGAAGCACTGCTTGACGGCCGTTTCGTCCTATTATGGGACTCCTCAGCAGTGCGTATCCACGAACCCGCTCTCGCGAGATTCGAATCCAGGACCTACCACTCTCGAGCCAGAGCACTTAACCGATAGACCACTGAGCTATCCAACTATCCAACGGCCGTCCAGTGCTTCCAGGTTTTCCCTAATGGTCTAGCTTCAATTGACTCACGCTTTCAACTATGAATCATACTAAATCTCCACAAAACCCCTTCTGATACTTAATATAAACATGATATATTAATTTATACTGTTATTCTGCCGAGGTTTTGTGACATCCGCCATCTATTTCATTATAAACAATAGAACAATTAAACAAAAGTATTTATTTTGTTAATTCATTAAAACAAAAAGTATTGAGAAGAAAATTATCTTTCATAATATTGAAATCAATCTATTTTTGATATTCTAAATTACAATTTGATCGAAAGGTAATACACTATATCTGTGTAATCGAACTTGATACTAAGTACATGAGTGTGTATGTGTACATGTAGACATACAATATAGGACTGAGTGAATACTCTCCATCTACTTACTATTTAACTTTTACAGTATTGTTTTTTGATATTCACCTATAACAGAATATTCTGTTTTATACATATTTGGTGTAGCATGAACTAGGACAGTTCCAGGATCTTGATAAGGAAGAAGAATATAGAGAATAGATTACTTTTAAAATATGATTAAAAATTAAATGATTGATATAAATCTGTTCCATGCTATTACATAATTATATAAGAACTCTCGTCTAAATTTGATCGAATAGTTTCACAGTATTTGGGCGCTGAGTTGAGGTGAGACATTAAGAGGGAAGAATGTATTTGTAAAATCTCAGCGAATGTATTTGAAATAAATCCAACGTTTTACCTGGCAATCTGATTCAAGCTTTTTCAAGGAATTATAATTGGTTTATTGGTTCAAGTATATAATACTAAAACAATAAGTTGTAATTTCGAACCTTTTGTTTTATATCAATAACCCCCGAAAAACGAACAGGACTACTAAAGTTAGTTTTCACACAGGGCACATTAATCCTCCGCTTCGTTAATGAGTTGCATCAAAATAGATGAGAAATATGTTGCGTGGTTATTTTAACTTACAAGCATGTACGATTATTATTCTGGATTTAAATGTACATGTGATACCTCACATTGAAACACTATCAAATTCTTTGAAAAATTGCTTCTTTGTACAATATTCAACTTACTAAGTGAACAGTAATTCCTATTACTGGAATTATAACTATGAATTATGTGGTAGATATTGACAGGCAATTAGATATGAACAGATTTCACCCACTAAAAACAGCAATAATTAAAAAAAGTAGCTAACCTGTATATCGAAAACCAGATAAATGGGTGGAATATTTTCTAATGAAACGTTAATTACACACCTGATACAATGTTGCTTATGTGTCAATCCTAGTTTGTGAGGAGTTTATTTTCTCTACAGTTATCTTGTCGGAACACTACGCGTAATACTATCGAGCTAGAAGCTGAAAAAAGCTCCAGTCAAAACAAGTACAATTTGACTTTATCTACTAAGAATAATACCGGTAGATGCACGAAACAAATAGATTATGATTAAAATTTGAAATTATAAACAGACTGTGGTTTTAAAAGATTATCAACGAACGACAGACCTTGATAAAATCCAACTGAGTAAGTGTGATGGCTGTTTAAAGAACAACTTTGTCACATTCCATTTAATTATGGATGTACGTAACAGTGAGAATACTGAAACATTCAGCAAAATGTAATTGTTTTAGTTCATAAACTATACCAGTATGAGGCAAAAAGCTCACTCTGATTTTCAGTGATAATAATGATAATAATAATTTTAGAAAATTTTGATATTATATTGAAATTTAACAATCAAGAATAATATACCTGGCAAAGTGAATGGTGTATCTGTTGTGCATAATTTATCCGCTTTTCCTAATAAACTATTGGGCTGTTTGTATTCCGACTGGTAAGTGCTTTCAAAGCTTCATTATTAAAACGAAAATGTATATCAACATAGGTATAAGGGTATAGGGCATAATTTAAGAATGGTAAATCATATAACAATAGTTCATAGGTCAAAATGAAGCCCTTAATAAGAGGGACACGAATATGAATAGTTTGGTTAGTTAACAATTATACGGTAAAAATATAAGCGTGGTATTGGTCCATAAATGGATCCCAAAAGTTGCCATTCACTGTTCTCATCGGGACACAGCAGTTTCGCATCGACAAAATAATGGAATAGATAAAGGTAGGAAATCAACCGTCATCTATTACTTTCTACAGCTGAGATTACTGTGTTTCTTAGTGATCAAGTTAATAAGTTAACTTGTTAGTATTTCTTCAGATAACATAAATTTATTAAGTCCTAAATATCATAAAATCAACTACAGAAAACATTGACATTCAGTAAAACAGAGGAGTTTTAAACTATTACAAAAGAGATGTTTAGAACCCCCGTCCATTTCAAAGCCTCATACAGTTCATAATAAGGTCTCAATAGCACATTTCCTTCTCAAAACCATTATTTGACAATACATCGAAAATTAAACTCCAGATGGAGTCACCTTTGTGGTTACTGGAGATTCTAGTTTCGGATAAAAAATGGATGTTCGGAAGTGAGGCTAACAACCCCACGCCATAAAAAAGCATCCACTACAGAATTTTTAATTGTAAAAACCTGATGAGTTCTGTTATAGTAGAAAAACGGTTTACAAATATGAGATTTATGTCACTGTATGATGAAAGCTGTGAATTTCCGAAAATCACGGGGCCGACGCCCTTTTTGAAAACAAGGACAAAAATAAATATCAGAACATGTAAAGTTCAAACAATGTGAGGAACAACGAAATGTCATTCAGATAGCCAAACAGATAAGGACAAAGATCAGATAAACATGAGATCGTATTCTATACTATATAAATGCCCAGAAAAATACTTGGCCATCTAGATGAGCGATCTAAACGCCATAGTCTAAATAAATAAAACTGAGTATAAACTAATTACGGGGTGATATGGACTGGAAGAAAGAGACAAGAATAATGACAAACCGACATATATTTGTATGCTTCTAATAACATGATGATGAGTGGGAGAGGAATAGGTGAGCACAACTCTATGAAGGGCTCTTCAATAGACCAGCGTCGATGAACTCAACAAACATCGAAGCAGCACACACAGACATCATTATCGATAATACCCCACCAATGGTAGAAAAAATTAACAAGTACATCAGACAAATCACGAATGGCGAAGCAACAGGACCAGATGACATACGAGCTGAAGGACTCAATTTAGGCATAGAGTCAAGTGTATATACAATATATATACTCTCTTCAGAAAGATTTAGGAGGAAAAACAAGTACCATCAAACTGGAAACAGGTATTCCTCATCAAGATATCAAATAAAAGGTCTTAATAAATGTTAGAAAAAAGAAGAGATTACACAATCGGATGAAAGATTTAGTAGACGCCAAGCTTTGAGATCAACAGTATGAATTTCGTAAGGACTGATCACATATCGACTAAACAGTGACCCTACGAACAATTCTTGAACGATCAATTGAGTGGCACTCATCACTATACATTGACTTCCTTGCTTATAAGAAAGCATAAATTGGTGTGCACTAGAAACCATTGTAGAATCTTTTTCTACACTGCGATATGCCTAGAAACACCGTCATAATCGCATGAAACAGTTATGAGGGACTAGGTTGCAAATTCGTTGATGGAGGGTAGCCTACAGATGAATCCCAAGTGAACAAGTGTCAGACAAGGTTTTCTATACTCGTCTCTTCTCCTTGTGCTAGTTGTTAACTGGATTATGAAGATGTCCACATCTGAGAGGCAGCACAGAATACAGTGGGCACTTTGAGCTCAACTAGATGATCCGGACATTGCCGATAACTTGGGCATGCCATCGCTCACATAACAACGAGTGCAGGTGAAGACAATCAGTGTAACAAGAGCCTCGATACTGATAGGCTGCAACACTCACAAGGTAAGAAGGTAAGAGAATCGACTTAACTACACTTAATGACAAAGCTTAAGAAGACGTGGAACCTTACATGCAATTGTCGATGCCAAGTTTGGACTTGATAGTTTCAAATAACTCGAGCATCTGATAGAAAGGTAATCACAAATATGTTTTTTGTTATATCCCAATGATGAAAAAATTGTATTTCATTGCATTAACCACAAAACGTCAGAAATACAATTTTCTAATAGCTGGAATATAACAAAAAATATATTTATCACTTACACATAACTGGATAGTATTTTTGGCAGACAGGGAGGATCGGATGCAGATGTCATAGCACGCATTCCCGAGTATAAGAGTTATTAATCAAATGTTCAGAAAGTAATGAAACTTACGTATGTGCTACATGATGAGAAATCGGTTGTATTCTAGTGCTATCTGTGGGACAATTGAACTTCAGTGTGTCAATCATAGGTTGTTTTTGTTTTCCAATGCCTTCTATTGGTATTGGTCTAGTAACAAATAAATAACAACAGCAGATGTCTATCGGTTGTTAAATTTATCATTTTGAGTAAATAAAGTGAATAGAGAATCCGGATTATAAGTCTGTTTATTAGATGCAGAGTAATTTCAGTTTAATTATTATATTTTCGATCAAAAGTCATAATTCATAGGAAGATGCAATAATTTTTTTACAAGCCTAAAATCGTAATGATGTTGTTATTTAAGATAGACGTTCATGTTGAACACTCGATCAATAGTGGACTCAGAATAACTCCAGTTGTCAGACTCATTTGATGATAATATGGGTGAATATGATTTTTAATATTGATAAGATCCGGTCAAGTTTGTTGCTTTTCATAAATCACATCTGTGCTTTGGTGTCAGCGTATCAGAAAATACACAACTTAGTCAACGTCTGTATTTGAACCAGATTCATTAAGAGTAGCTCTATGGTGTTTGTATGAACTAATGATTCCTTTTTACTTGCTGACTGCCTGATTTCGAATCCCAAACACAATAATTTCGTTTGTGCTCACCTAGTTCACTGTTTAAGGGGTTCCTAGTTCGTACAATAATTCAAATACTTCTAATTATCACAAACGGGTCTTCCTCTTCACCAATATTTTCTCCAGAGTATCTTTGAAATTACTCAAATATTAATCACACGGAAAACGCAAGGAAAATTTTCGTTTTTACTCACGCTATTCCTATTTTTTAAACATAATACAAATAATTTTTATGCTTTGCAATAAGTTCCTGTTTTGTGCCGAAAAACATTCGACTAATTTATTTTGCTGAATGACAAATTTAGATGGTAAAAATTTGTTTACTTTCAGGTAGCCTACAGCTGCTAAGAAATCGAATGAAAATCAGCGTTCCAATTATTTCAGCGACCATCATTTCGACATTTGCATTGAAAACAAAAAGTAAGGGAGCAGTACTTTGATTACAACAAGAAAAATGGTAATTAAACAAACATAGACAACGTATGACTGACATACTTTGATTCTGAACCAAAGACGTTTGACGTCGGGTAGCCTGTTAAATTCAAGTATGTTGGCATATTCTTTTCAGATGTTTCTTTTAGTTCTTCAGGTTTCCAAACCCTATGATCTTTCATATATGTCGTAAGATATGGATCCAGGTATCTTAATGTTTCTTTGTCCTTTGGATATAACACTCTGCCTGACAAACTGGCGTTTTTAGTAGAAGGGATAATATTCTTAAAGTCTAATGCTATTACAGAAGTGATTTACTTTGGATGGTCCGTCCGTATGATGATCTTCGATTTCAAATGGTCTCATTGATAGTGGACGCCATAGTTCACTGGGTCCATCAGCACCACCATACGATTCTTTTGTTTCAGTTGTCTGATGACTTGGGCTTAGCGGTCTTCTGTAGCCTCCAGAGAGAAATCGTGAACGAAAATCATTTATGTAGTGAACATCCCAGTGATGAGGAGGTAGAGGATTCTGTGGAAACTTTAGAAAATCCTTTGGGATCTTCCGATCGTACATAAGCCTGTTCGACGTTTGATATTGATCTTCAAACTTAACTGCAGATTCGGACTCTAAACTCCATGTATGTCTTTTACTAAGTTTGGCCTTAATTGTAAAGTAAAAGAAGGAACTATGTTGAAAAATATTGTCATACCACTGTGTTGGAATCAGGAAAATAAAACCCTTTCCTCCAGTGATGTCCAACTCCATAAGACGTTTTGAATATTTCATCATTTTGCATAGTGTCTGGTAGATCTCGATCGGCATTTAAATTAGGCACTATGTGCAATTTCTGTTGTTATAGCAACCATTATTTTACATCCAAATGGTTCAAATGGTTGAGGACGGAATAGAAGAAGCTTTCGCTTAACGGGCTTCCGTGTCTGGTAGCAGTAGATCACCAATACCTCCAGGCAAGAACCTAGGTATATGAACGATAATAGAGGGAAAAAAGTTTGGTAAATCATAATAATATGTTATACTTAGTCCTTAAGAATAGGTCAAGTTTTCTCTTAAAGGACTCCTGGGAGGTCGCTTGGACTAGCTCAGTCGGCAGCGAATTCCAGCACTTGACAACTCTAACGGAGTAGAAGTTGTGTCTGCAGTCTGTTCCGCTATGTAGGGTCTCCAATTTCTGGGTGTTACCTCTGAGGTTAGTGTTATGACTAAGCTTAAGAAGTTGTTTAAGGGGATGACCAGAAGTATTAAGGATACTATAAGTCATAAGAAGATCACCTCTAAGACGCCTGTACTCTAACGGGTAAAGGTTAAGTGATTTGAGGCGCTCTTCATAAGGTTTGAATTTGAGACCCCGAACTGATTTCGTGGCTCGACGTTGTATACGTTCCAGAGTGACCTTATCCTTTTGGAGGGAGGGGGAAATATTATGTTTCCGTACTCTAAGTGGGGACGAATAAAACTGTTGAAGATTATATGGAAGGTTCTACCGTCAAACTGGCCAAAAATGCGCTTCAATGTTACCAGTGCAAGGTTTGCTTGAGAGGCGTTTTTGTCACAGTTCGCATACGATTTCAGGTCGTAGGGTACCAACACTCCTAAATCTTTTTCAATTTGGGAAACTTCTAGAAGTGAGTTACCCAAGTCATAACTATAGTCTGCAACATGTCTCAGATGGACTACCTTGCACTTTGAAGTGTTGAAGGTAAGTCCGTTGTCGTCTGCCCAACTTTGGAGTTGAGTCAGATCCTCCTAACGAACTAGTATATCATCATGATTACGTATCTCTCTCCAAAGTTTCATATCATCAGCAAAAAGTAATAAGTCAGATGAAACTTGTTGAGGAAGATCGTTAATAATAATAATAATAATAATAATAATAATAATAATAATATATTTCTGCATTAGCAGGTACACGCCATTTTTACAGGCATGATCTACAATTTACAACATATACCGGTTCACAGTATGCATCACAAGCAAGCTTGTTTAGTAATTATAATCCATAAAAGTTGATAGCAGTTCATTCGTTCAGATATAATGTGTTTTCATAAGAATAGTTTCCAAAGGGGCATAGCGTCCACGTTATATACCAGATCCAATCTCGACAAAAAGTGTAATAGGGTTTCGGTAGTTCTAAGTATTTACGTAATGCAGCTTTTTAAGTTTATAGTTGTTATAAAGTGGGCTTGTGGAGCGCCTGGTTCGAGCTATGACCTTGGCAAAGCGCGTTCGTCAAGCTTGTTCCAGATGTCAGAAGTTACATAGCTTCGCCCTCAGAGCAAGATTCTGAAGAGAAAAAAATAAAAGAGAAACCGAAGAGCAGCAAGGCATTTGGATATGAGCGATAATCAATGCTTAACATTTATTAGTGGAACAGATAGAGGTATGATAAATTCTTAGATTAAATTGATACTAGCTCATGTTGCAAGAGTAAACTGCGATTAGGGGCTCCAGAAGAGAGAAGGCAGTAATAAAGAACAATGAGTTGTGATATTTATCAAGGTGGAGCAGGTTCCAATGAAGGAGGGAAGTCAAGGTTGGAATGAGGAAGAACAGAGAGTGCATATAGAGAGTAGAGTGTTGAGTAAAATAAAAATAATAACCATATCCTTTACAGTCAGTTTTTTCCATCATCCGATGCCTGCCAAACAGTTTCCATGTAAAAGTCCGAATTAGCATGTTAAAGGTTGTCTTAGTAGAATAGTTAATCCAGCACAAAAATTAGAAACATGAGTCTTAATGGTGAGTGTAGGTGAACAATCTCAATATCACAGATTGATTGACTTGTTCTCATCCATAAAGATCCTGATACAAACAAAATGTTCTGCCCCACAAACACGGGTGGATTGAAATCATCGCCCACACCATCAGTGCTTGCTGGTCAGTAACTCCACCCTCCCTCCTTTTGTGATGTTAGGCTCATTTACGCTTATTTTTTGGATACATATCATACCTCACACAATGCTCTGTGTTTCACATCCTGTTGGAAAACACTATTTCTATAAGTACCATGTTACAAGCTTATCAGACAGTTACAAATTATGGACTGTGGGTAAGGCTTCGATGCAATGTTTTTATTGACTATATAGTGAAGTGTAGGTTACGAATCAGAGTATAGGCATTAGGAAGGGTATAGTGTAGGATATTTCTTTACCATAGTAGGCGGAAAAGTGGAGATTTATATTAGTTACAGAAAAGGTAAGATAACGAGTGGTGAAATAATATTAATGGCAAGGCAACATAGTGTATAGATGAGTAAAAAACTGATAAATAGACAAGAAGTAACTCACACTAAATTCGCGCTGAGGTTGTTTTGTTCCATGCTAACCGGTTGATAGGTGACGGGTTCTGTGGTTGTACGACCACTGGCAGTAGTCAGTCGATTGTGCGTTTCTTCTGGTGTTTTAGGGTATTTATAGGCGTCGTTTAGCGACCGAGTATTGATAGATCCAGTGAGTTGCCTGTCTACTTCAATTGAAAAGAATTAGTGAGGGGGAAGTATCTAATACAACTACAATGTAGGGAAATAAGGCGATTCAGTCTATATATGTAGAGAGCCTATGATGTCTGTGTGGGACGTGGATGTGTTCGTTTGCACCAGATCTTTGCAGGTGAGGGGTTGATTAATGAGTCTTGTAAACGTATGTAATTTGTCTGCCATGCGTACTTCAGAAGGCAGATTGTTCCATATCAATGCGTACTTGGTAAGGAAGAAGTTTTCACGTGTTTTTTTTATCTGTGTTTTTCAATTTTGACAGTGAATACTTTGTCGCGAAGGTTGTATCCATGTGAGTCTTGGTAGAGAGCTATATTACATGTGGAATAAGTAAGGTTTTTAAGGAGTTTGAAATAAAGAATTAAGTTAGACCTAAGCCTTCTTTTCCAGAGGGGTTCTAGTCCTAAGATATGGCATCTGGATTTGTAGTCAGTGAGTTGGTCATTCTTAAGTATTTTGCGAGTGAAGTCTCGCTGTATTCCTTCCACCTTAAGTATATCAGATAGGCGTAGGTTGGAAAATAAGAACGAGCAGTATTCGACGATAGGTCTTACGCAGGTTTTATACAGGATGACTTTAGTTTCCTTTTGAAAGAAATTACGAAGGATGAAGCCAAGCAATCTCCGCGTTTGAGATGCTTTAGTTGAAATATGTTCAGAGAAGTTAAGACTGTCGGAGTAATGTACCCCAAGGTCAGTTACTGATGTCAGTCTGAGCAGTGGGTTTTTTTAAGTGCTAGTTTTAGTTTAAGTGACGTGTTACCAATACATAGCCAACCGCATTTCTCTGTGTTGAGCTCTAGCCCCCAGCGTTCGCACCAGTGGTCTACTTTGTTGAGTTCATGTTGGATCGTTTTCATAGTACTTCGTACATCACCAATGTCAGTTTTATAGATGACTTTTAAGTCATCAGCGTAAAGGTAGGTCTTACCTGTAGTAAAGCTTTTGCATATATTGTTGATATAAATTATAAAGAGCAATGGGCCCAAGACACTACCCTGCACAACACCACTGGTTATTGGTCGAGGTGTAGATGTTGTAGAGTTAAGCTTGGTTATTTGGTATCTGTTTGTGAGGAAAGACTTAATCCATTGCAATAGGGGGTTTATAATTCCAACTGACTGGAGTCTGTTGATTAGAAGATTATGGGGTACTTTGTCAAAGGCTTTCTTTATATCGAAATAAAGTATAATCACTAGCTTTTTCTGGTCACGTATGCGAGTAACCTCGTTAAAGAAGTCTATCAGACGTGTACTACATGATCTTGCTCTAATGAAACCATGTTGTGTTGGGTCTATTAGTTCTTCCTTAAGTAGGTGATCTGATAGTTGACTTTGTATCACTTTTTCCATTATGCGCGAAATAACTGGGGTGATATTTATAGGTCTGTAGTTTCCGACCAGGTTTCTCGGCCCTGATTTGTGTTTGGGAAGAACATACTTTACCTTCCAGGCTTCAGGATATGTACCCGCCTCTAATGATAATGTGTATATTTTGAGCAATAACGTATGTATATCCGGCCCCGACATTTTATAGAGGATTGATGGTATATCATCAACACCAGAGCTCTCATTCGGCTTAATATAAATCAAGCAGAGAAGAGGTCCTAGTATTGAACCCTGGGGGACCCCACTAGGACATTCCATAGCCTGAGAGAGAGAGTGAAGTTAACCCTGACCCTAAAGTGTCGGTTTTCTAAATATGAAGAGAGCCAATCAATTAAACGGGGTTTTATACCCAATCGTCCAAGCTTCTTGATAAAACATGCATGGTTGACCCTATCAAAAGCTTTTGAGAAGTCCAGGTAGATGACGTCAACCTTCCCCTTGCGATCAAGGATGGTTGTCCATCTATCCACCGCAGTCAGCAGGTTGGTCATACAAGAATGACCTTTTCTGAAACCATGCTGTTGAGGCGAGAAGAACTTTGAGGATGATAAGTGTTCTAGTATGCCGTCGAATACTAGGGATTCCATAATTTTTGAAGGTATGGAGAGAAGGGCCACTGGTCGGTAGCTTGAGGGTTCACTGCGTCGACCTCCTTTGAAAATTGGTGTGATGTGGGTCAGCTTCCATATTTCCGGTAGTTTGCCTCTGCTTAGCGAGTGTGCAAACATCACGCTAAGTGGTGTCGCCAGGATTGAAGCTGCTTCCCTCAATACAGCGGAATGAACCATGTCCGGACCAGGAGAAGTGTCTTTTCTTAGGTTCTGCAGTTTACGGAGCACCAGGTCAGCACTCAGGTCCACTTCGGAAAGTCCTGTACAGGTGCAGGTGAAGCTTTCGTCAGTATGGTTGATGTGGGTCAGCTGGAATGTCCGAGAGTAATGTTCAGCCAAAAGG